TTGGCAAAAAGGAACTTAAAATATTATCCATTAGTATTGTGCATAAAAAAAATAGGAAAATTTTCTTCTTGTTAATTTAAGAGTCAGTAATTTTTTCTTCATATTTGTTTAAGTAAATTTTATTTGTCGCCTATAATAAAATAGTTTGAAGTGTGAAGTGTTCTTGGTTTTTTAATAAAAATCTTATATAATATACATATATACAAACATAAAATTAAGTCATCGTTGTTCATATGTCATTTGTTATATTTTATATAGAATAACTTTCTAGGAAAAGTAAATATTTGTCTTTCTTTTTCCTAAAAAAAGAACTCTGAATACATTCAGTTCACTAAATGTATACTTTTATAATTTAACTTAAAAGAATTTAAAATATCTTGAGTTTTATAGTCTAAGTGCATTTTACCATAAACAGTGTACATAATGTCCATGTATATATATAGTTTTGTGTATATTTAACTTTATATGAGATAATCTTTTTCAAAAACATAAATTTCAAATAGAAAATATTTACTAAAAATCATAAATTTTTTTTAACTGTCTAGGAATTTTTTTTTTAGCCTAGAAAAGTAAATTTAGAATAGTATATCCTTTTGAAAAAAAGAGGGATTGTATGTTAGAATCCTTTTTATGTAAGAATCGTTGTTTAATTACAATGTATGAACAATTACTATATTAAAAATGTGAAAATATGAGATGTGAGAGTAAAGTAGTGAATTTTTCATTTTGGTATTTAAAGTGTTAGTTTTGAGAAAAAAATCTTTAATAAAAATGCATGAGCAATTAATCAGAAAAAAATTATTTAAAATAAAGCAATAAATTTTCATTTAAATGTTGGATTTTTTTTTAATTTGTATATATATGTACGTACATATGTATATGAGTTGAAGTATATATATATATTTTCTTTATGTGTAGTTAATATAAAAGTGATTTTCGCAATGTTATACGGTATATTCCCTCATGGTAATGTAGACTTGTGGAGTAGATTTATGTATAGTCAGTTTAATTTAAATTCAACAACCCTTTGCTAATTTAAAATTTGATCTAGCTAATTTATCCTAATCTAGAAATTTAATCCAGCTATTCTAGAAAATTAATCTAGCTGTAATATTTTCTTTCTATTTCTAAAGCTACGTTACAATTTAATAAAAAAGTACATCAAAGATAACATTAATATTGTTGTTTTTGCTAATTTCGAATTTTATAAATTTGGCCATAAGTGAGTATCAAAATATGAAAAAAATAGAGGTGATAATACCTTCTCTTGTCAAAGGCCATTAATTACTCATTTTTTTATATTAAGTAAGTGCACCGGTATTTCTATTTGATACATTATTTCGACAAAAACTAATACCAGAAATTAAATTAAAATTTGCACCAAGAATATCTTATAGAATTCGATAATAAAACTAAAAATTGCATTTTTATTTTTAAATTATAAAAGAAAATATGCATTAAATTTTCAGGAAAAGAGCAAGTCGTACCCTTAGTGCAATATCGCAACAAATCAAAACAGTAATATTTGATTTAGGGTTAGCATTAATTTAGAATATTTCGAGTACTACAATTTTGTTTTTCACTATTTAAAATTCCTCTTTCTTCATAATTTCAAATATAAATAAAAAGTATTTAGGTTTCCACTAAATTAAATTTAATCAGTAACTATTATCAGTATTTGCTGAATACTTTATTTGTTCTACGTTTGTGTTATACAGATTCAAGAAGAAATTTTTATTTTTAGTATTGTCATTAAGGTGCCAAATTTTCGATTAGTATAAAATAGAAACAATCCAGTTAATATTTTCTATTTATATTTTGTATAAAAGAAATTGTAATTTATCATTTAACTCAAGTAGTACATTTAGATTTTAAATTACGATTTCATTTAATTTAATAGCTATGCTTTTGCCTTGTACACATATACAAAAATTTTAATACTCCATTTATTTACAATAAAAAAAAATTAAAGTATCCAAAACATTCAGTGGAAAAAAAAACAATAATATTCTTTTTAAATACGGAAAACATTAAATGTACAGACGACACGTTCTTCTAGCCGCTTCGGCATATGCTTAAAATCTTATTAACAAGATATTTTTGCTTGTTCTTTATTTTATTTATTTTTGTTTCTTTGGTGTACTCTTAAAGAATTTTAATTTTGTTCATTAAATAAATTTATTTAAATTCATAGACCATTATTTCGAAGACATCATCATCGTATCATCAGCAAGTCCCGCATAGTTAAAATTTTATTCAAGTTTTTCTTTGTATTTCGTAAAATGTCTTATAAAATATAATATGCGAATAAATTGAGAATAAATAGTGTGTATTTGTTTATGTGACATAATCGTATATGCGCTATTTGTGATTAGCTCAAAATTATAAATTGGAAAAAAGAATAAATGATTAAAAATAATAACAAAAACAAGAATGATCACATAGTCATTGAAGTGAAAACATAAAAATTTTGCCAGTTTTTCGCTCTTTTTTTTCATCTTTTCTTTTTAACTTTGCAGATAGAATTTTTAATTTTATTTATTTATAATATCAATTGGGTCGGTCGGTCGCTTAAAAATAAAGACAAAATTTTTAGAAGCAAGACAATATAATAGACAACTAATACTTATAAATAACTATGGATATCTTATTGATTAATCCAAAACACATAAATTACATGAAAAATAAAGCTCAAAATTAATAATTGCGCCCTATATACGTATAATTGTTTAAGATTTAAGATTAATAGTAAAAATTGAAAAGATGACGAAAATCTAAAATCTTAAATTACAAATCTTAAAAGATATCTTTTTTAACGTTTCAATTTCTAATACCAAATTCAATAATAAAAAAAATTTTTATTTTTTGCTGCCAATTAAGTGCTATAATAATTAAATGATTGGAAAATACCGTTAAGAGAAGTTTGGGGTACGGTTCTGCATGATCTTATGCATAATATTTAAAAATATAGTTGGTCAGACTCATTTCTAGTAAAATGACGCATTTTTCTTTAGCAATATAAAATGAGAACGTGTTTATATTAATATAAATAAAGGAGTTGAAAAAGTAAAAATATTTTATTAAAACCTGTAGTTCTCTGATTATAATTTTGCATATATTTAGGATTAATATATCAAGCCGACTGACCGACAAATCGAAACTATTAGCCATATTTTTTCAAAAATACTATGAAAATGCGTCAAAAATTATAACTTAATTGTCATTCTATTTATCTTATTACTCATAAAGTCTATTTGGCATTTTTCTTAAAGAATTAGTAATGAATCGAAATTAGTATAGGAGATAAAATATTGTTAAAACAATAGTTACTCCACTGCATAGAATGGAAATGCAGAAGCCGAACACGCATTTTCATTCTATGAAATAGCAGAAACAAATAAAAATGAAAGAATGTTTTAAAAAACCTTAATGCAACAATCATCGTATAGCTCGAATCATAATGTAAATAAACTTATTAATAAATATTTGCAATCCTCACAAAATATAAAAATTTTTACATATACATATATGCTATGTATTTGAATGCTGTTAATTTAATATTCGTTAGCATTTCAGTTTATGCTAATTTTAATCAGGATTAATAAGAAACTGGTCAGAACTTTGAAAATTTAAGTATTAACAAGTCCTCTCACCATACAAAAAAATTTACGTTTGCCTTAAAGACATATATATGTTTGTGTTGGTAGATGTATAATATGTTGGAATGGACAGGTATGACAAATAAAATACAATGAGCTCGAAAAGGGTATGAAAATAAAATAACAAAACGCCAATAAAATTTAGTTTTAACTTAACAGTCAAAGAGATAGCTTATTATTTACGAATTTAAAATATTCTCTTTAATATTTTAAAATTATTTTAGCGAAACTAGTATGAATGGTGTACCCTAAACATAACCTGTATAATTATTTAATTACGAATATTTATGTGACATCGTCATGAGGAAAATAACAAAAAGACAACAACAAAATATAAACAGCAGACGCTTGCTTTTTTGTTTAGCGTACATTTCTCTTCCACTATTTGCTTTTACTTTTTTTGCGCTAATAAAAAGCAAAACGTATGAACAAAAAATGCTAGGTCGATCATTTTTCTTTCCAACACATTAGACTCAGCATTACCCATACAATATATGTATATATTTTACTGTATAGGTAAATGTATTGTTAATTATTGTAATTTATACAGTAGAGCCCATTTATACATATCCTAGTGCTATATAAAAATCTCATTCAAATTTTTGCCAAAAACACATTCTTGAAATTTTTATAGTTGCCATAACAAGTTTTAGCATTAAACAGACATATTACAATTATTTTCCATTTTGAGTTGTTAACTCAGTAACAGTATTGCTTTAAATCTATCGTCGCTGCTTTTTAAAAATCTGCTTCATCCCCACCAACATTTTAAAAGTTTTTTAAAAGATGTAATTTTGATGAAGAGCTGAGGGAGAGAAATGTTGATGCTAAATATAATTTGTAAATATTATTAAAATCAAAGCAAATCTAGAAATTTTCAAATAAATAAATAATAAATCAAAATCGAATGGCTTTGTCTATTATGGGTATAGCAGTTTCGTCAATATAAATTTGACTGTATATATGGCAAGTATATGTTTTATTAAGTAGTATGCAGAATTTTATAATAAAAGTAAAAATGAAAACATTTGTTTTCGTTTCTTTTTTTAGTATTCACTTTTTTATACTTTAAAAGCTTTTAAAAAAAAAAAGAAACGCGAATGATCAGGGATCGGTTTTAAATATATGATAAGTCCATTCATATACACATGTATGTATAGAAATTTACAATAATAATATATGCTTATATAATGTATGAATGAATATCAGTGAATAATATACAAATATATTACAACTTTATGTGTGTAGATACAGCGAAGACTATATATAGAGAATATAAGTTTGCTTTTAAAAACTGAAATAAGTACTTCGTTCTGTATGCCTAACAATTTAGTTTTATTAAAAAATTCGCAAGAGTCGGTTGTTTTTTATGGTTAGATTTGGTTTTTTTTTATTTTTTAAATTTTTTATAAAATTTGTATTTGAATTTTTTTCTTTTCTTTCATATGCATACATAAATTTTTCGGATTATGTTTTTTTTTCTCAAAATAAAATTTTAATTATTTGTTTTTGAAATTAAATGAAAATTTTTAAGATAAAACTTTTAGTTTTTTTTTATCATTTAAAATACAAATTCTAATCAGTTATTTATTTTGCTCACATGTTATTTATAAGATAATTTTTTAGCACTTTTTTTAGCCAAAATTTTTGTTTTTTATTTGCTTTTAAATTAATTTGTTATTTTAGGTTTAATTTTAGTTTAAAAAATTTTAAATGAAAAGAAAAGAAAATACAAAAATAAAAGTGCTAAAATAAAAAAATGTAAGAGTGCTTAACAAACAAAAATAGATCGAATGACTTTAAATATCGATTACATTAATTTTTATATTGCATTTTCTAATATTTCAATTTTACTAAGTGAAAATAAACATAGCAAAAAGAAAATTTATTATTTCAGTAAAAAATAAAAGTACTTTAGCTATATGGTTATAAATAATTTATTTGTGATCGTAAAATAAAATTTTGAATAAAATTAAAAAGTATTGAAAGCAGCAGTGATATCTACAGGCAGAATGATTTGAACGACCTATTTTTAAGAATAATATTGAATTATAGCTCATACTTAAATTTTCTACTCATAAATATAAATTAGAATAATTTTTATTTTTTTTTTGTAATAAACCAACAAAAAGCAATCTTATACATAATGAAATTTTATGAGGATAAGAGTTTTAATTATAATTATTTTGTATAGCACTTTAAAATATAAATATTGCGGAGTCAGTCTTAGTAATTTATATTTTGAAAGTTAAACTATTAACTATATTATTTTATTGATTGCAATCCTCAAACATACATAAATGTTTACATATTATGTTTATAATTCGTATGCATTGATTTCAATACAAACACGAGCTACGCTTCACAATTGTTTATGAATTAATTGATAAACCAAAACATTGAATGTGACTGAAATTATAATAAATGTAATGAACCTGTATGTAAAAAAGTTGCTAAATCATGAAAAAAGCAGCGGAAAATACTCCTAATTGTAAGAGCCTATTAGAGCTTCCAAAGGAAATTTAGTAAATATTAGTTTCTAAATGAAGTATATAAACATGTTTTATCGTATTAGGGATAATACTATAAAACAATACGCTAATTAATAAAAAAAATAAATTTGAAAAAAAAAATTAATTTAACCACAAAAGAATACTAAATTTATGTAATTTTTAAAACAACTAATACTTAAATTTAAGCTCTTTATAACATTTTACGTGATTTCAAACTTGCATACTACTCCCATAACATATAAAAATTATTATGTATGAATTATGTAAGAAAATGCTATATACGAGTGTACACAAAAATATAAAGGAAAACAATATTCATTATATTTTTGAAAAATATCCGATGAAAAATTAAAAAAGTTCTTATTCTAAAAAAATAAAAATTTATTCTAAAGCCCGGCAAATTAAATGAACGAAATTTTAAAGAAAATTAAATAATAATTGCAAATTTAAAATCTGAAAATAACTAAAACATAAAATTTTTTTAATAGTTTTATTCATCAAAACAAAAAAAAAAATTCCCATCATAAAATTCAACACATAAAATGTGTTTCCCGCGTTCAAAATACTTAACAAGAATTTTACCAAAAAATACGGTGTTCGCATGATTATTGCGAGCTTTCGTATAGGTTTTTTCATTCAACAGTTTTTCATTATTTCGTTCGCTATATCTAAAATTAACTATTCTGAAATTTTAGTTCTTTAAAACCAGTTTACGTAAGTAGGTATTTACACGTTTTAGGAAACAAGAATTCCATTTTCAATGGAACAATATAATTATATTTTGATGACGAGTACTAACTAGACATCATGAATTCTTGTTTAACGAACATGCCGTGGCGCTTCGTTTAAAAATAAAATTATTTTTTTTTTTACATTTAACAACATTTATTATTGATTACTATTACTTGACCATTAAATTTTTTTTTTGGTAAGTTATAAATCTCGTTACGTTTATGCTATAATTTTAAAAATTTATAATAAAATATTGTCAAATTTTTATTATTTAATTTTCTAAGTTGCTTACGGTTAAAAAATATTTCTCGGTTAATTATCAATATTTAATTTTAAAAATTTTTTACTGTTTTGCTGTTAAATCGACCCTTTCCGCTTTTTAGTTTCACGAATGATTTCCATATATTTGTGGTTATATATCAAATATTTTATTTGAGAAAAAATTTACTTATATATTTTGAACCAAAGTTACTGTTTAAAATTACAGAAATAATTAAATAATTATTTTTTTATTAGAAATTGTTGAACTAGTTTTGCTCTTATTATTTACGAATTTAAAATAAGAAAATAACTAGAATATTTTGTTTCCGAATTTGATTAATACAGTCATTATTAGTTCAATTATTAATTAAATATTTAAATCTTATCGAATAAATAATTTTAATAAAATTTTAAAGATAAAATAAAATCCTATAATTTATGTTCGTAACGTAGCACTTTCGAATCATTCTGATTGTAGATTAATATGTAAAATAAATTATGAATATAATAAATTTTCAGAAAATTTAATTTAATTTTTAAATCATAAATAATATCTACTTTTAATTTAAGAGTGAAATAAAATTATTGTTGTTTTTGTATAATGTATTTTTCGAGAGTGTACATACATTTGTGCAGATGTATAAGATTTTAAATAATTTTTTTCATTAATAATCACAAAACGAACACATATTTATATTTATTTCCTATCTAAACAAATATATAAATATATTCATACATGTATAAAATATAAAATATATTATTTTTATTTTATTATTAAAATTTTAAATTTTTTTAATCTTTTAGAAACATTTATATATCTAATATATTAAGAAGTTATAACATCATTATAAACAAATCAAATTTAAATTACACATAACGTATAAACATACATATAGTATACATTAGTATATTTGCGTATAGATTATCACATCTTATTTATGAGGATATTAATTTTAACATAGGTATGTATAAATTTAATATATCATTAATATAAATATACATATATAGATATGTAGTTGATAACTGTTAATTCATATATGTATATAGATATTTATGTAATAATTCGTATATATGTATGTGTATATATAAATATTATTTTCTCGTATTTTTCCTTTTATCTCCGGAATTTTGTTTATATTTATGTACATAATACAGATAAATGAAATGTCACTCAAATATTTTAGGATTGTTTTCTTCTATATTATATTTATAGTTAATTGATTTTGTGAAAAATGATGGAAGATAGCTGATTTGGGAATATGTACATATTGTACAAAAAATACATAATATAAGAATGATTTTATGTTTTATAATAATATGGGCAATACGCCAAATACGTCGAATATAATTAAAAAGAAAAAAACATAATATATACATAGAGAATTCTCTATGGAAATTAAAGTTTAAATGTACGTATAATACAAGTATATATATACATACATATGTACGTACAACGTCAAACATGGAAATCCGTTATTTGTAAATTTTCAATTGAATTGCTTTATGAAGCGGATGAACAAATCCGCATAAAATTTAAAGTAATATAAAAATTAATTGAACTAGTTATAAATACAATTTTATAAGATCAAATAAGATTTTTATGGTATTTTAAAAGAAAGCAATTATTTTAATATAGAAATTATTGAAAACCATATAGAAATTGAATGTAGAATTTGTTGAAATTATTTAATTAATTCAATTAAATTTAAAAAATATTTTGCATCTGTTGAAAACATTCATATATAATATAATTGAATATTATAACACTTACCCGATTTTTGATTTTTGCATTTAATTTTAAATAAGGCATTTTTCCATTACGATTTTTACTTGATACTTCACATTCCTTTTTATCAAATCTCCATATTTTATTTATAAATTTTTTGTATCTTTCAATTTGTTAGATTTAATTTAACATACATACATACATTCATAGGCATGTAGGTTATTATTAATGACATTTTTTATTTTATATACTCATTTATAATATTATGTCTTTCAATTGTAATTAATGTCTTAATCATTAAAATTATAATTATTATAATATAAATTCGTGTGTACTTACACATAATATTCTCCAAATATATAAATTGCTTAAAATTATTAGGAGGTTATGCTTTCAAAGTTCAATTAGAATACTTGCTTATAATAAATTATATTTACATCAAGATTAACCACTTAAATATTAACGTACATATCTAGACACATTATTGAAAATTGATCTCATCAATATATTAAATTTTAAATAATAATTAAGACAAAATACATATATATACAGTTTAAAATTAAAATTAACTATTAAAAATTACCGATAGGTCATGATTGATTAAAATCTAATGAACGTTCATAATTATTAATGTTGGAATTAAAAACCGTATCGAAATGAAAAATTGAAAATTAAAAATATTTATATACTTACATACACAATGCATGTATGTATGTATCTTATATGCAATAACATATATAGAGAAAACATATAGAAATCAAAAATTAGATTTATCTAAAAACTTAATTTTTTTTTTCGAAATTGTGATGCTTATATTAATTAAAGTATTTTTTTTTAATCAGTACATTTTTTACAATCCACATTCCAATTAATTCCGCGAATGATTTTTATATTTTTAATATGAGCATTTTGTTTCGCAATAATAATAGCAAAATGAGACAGTTTTTCATGAAATCAATAATTTAAAAAAATGCTGAACTAGCATTACTTTATAATTATCTTTTTCAGTTTAAAAATAACATAAAACGTTTCAAATTACTACACTTGCAGTCGAACTATATAAGTAGATGAACATCTTTAAAATTTGTTTGCGCTATATATTTGAGTATATAAAGTACTTAAACTTAAATATTTCATTTGAATGCTTTTAAATAATTTAATGTTTCGCAAAATCTACTCTGAAAGAAGAAAAAGAGGTGACCAACTATGTTTTGTGTACTTTTCGTGCTATTTTTCACTTAATAGGTATTTATACATGATAATTCGTTAAATGTTTTTAATATTAAGAAAATTATTTCATTACCACTTATTACTAACTTAATATTAACGAAATACTCTATAATTTGTAATACATAATAATAAAACATATAATTTGTAATACATATGTATTAATATATATAAGTGTGAACACTATTTTACTATACAGTTATAATATATGAAAATATAACATTAGTTATTGCTACATATTCTTTTTCCGAAATGTCACTCTATTGGCATAATTAATCATCTCTATTTGAATTAATTATCTTTTATTTCAAATAAAAACAAAAAATTAATAATACTACAAATTTTTGTTTAAGTAATATACATATAAGATATAATATATATATGTATTTTTAAATATTTATGTGTATTTTTTGCAAATAAGTTCTTGTATGTAAATCAATCGAATTTATGATGATAAATTAGGTAATACACATGTCTATATAATTAAAATTTATTCAAAGTAAATATTTATGTAAAACATTAAGTTCAAATTGAAATCTGATTTCCTTTCAACATTAATTTATTATTAGAAATGAACAAAAATAAGAAGAGAATTTACTTGACCTTGTATAATTTTAGTCTTATGTACTAAGATTATTTTTAAATAAATGTTTGAGTTCTGATAAGAAAGCGTGTCATCATCAATTAATTAAAAATTTTGAAAACCTAAATAATTTCTTATAGTGCGAAACACATGTGCTTCTATTCTATATTGCCAATGTAATGTGTTGATATAAATTTGTGTAGAAATTTGGAAGGAAATTTTCTAATATGTTTTATTATATTTACTAATATAAATAAATAAATTTTCCAAGCAGATAAGTAAATCTGATTATTCAAGTTTGCACATGCCGAAAATTTTCATTAAATTAATTATGTTAATAATGAATATCCAAAAATTCCAATATGCAAATTTTTATTTTAAAATTTAATATAGTTGAATACTCGTATTAGTAATAATTTTGCAGATAATTTTGCAAGATATCATTATATGAATATACACATATGTAGATTTAAACCGATTTTAAAGTATACCTAAAAATCTAAAATTATAAGTCAAAGTTCAATTGTTGTAGTATTACATTGTACTATTAAACATAAGATTCCAAGAAATTATTAATTATAGTAGCCTACGACACTATTATAAATTCTACATACATTGAATTTAATTTCGAATGTTTTAATTATACATACATACATATTATATACGAACACATACATATTTGCATTAATGTTCCTATATACCCTTATGGCTTGAAAGTTAAAAGTAATAATAAAAAGAAAATAATATTAAGAAAATTTTTATGTCAATGTCAATGTCGACAATTTAAATTTTTTTGTTTGTTAAAAGACTTTATTTAATAAATGAAGTTCAAGATATAAATTAAAAATATTTTAATGAAATCTCGAATAAATAAAAGAAATTCGTATGTTTGTATATTATTATCGTGACAGACAATTTTAAAGTTTTTTAACTGATAAAATAGTGTACATATGTATGTACGTAAGAATATGTACATAATATGTCTGTATGTTAATGTATGTATGTATGCATATTTGTTATTTACAAACACACTTTTGTTATTGTTATTCAATTATAGCAGTTTAAATATTTTGCCTTTTTCTTTTGAGTACTTTTTTAGAAAAATTGGCAAAAAGTGCTTAATAATTTCATTTTGCCCATCCATTCCTATGTCTATATACAAAACTTTCGAACCCCTCAATATAAAAAGCTAAAATTTTATATACAAAAAGAACTTCACTATACAAAATTATTTCTCTAAAGAAAAATTTTTAATTTCCTCACTTCCCATAAAAGTTATATCCCCTTAACTTCCCAAAAATTGCCATTTTTGCCGATTTGTTGTATAGAAATCACAAAGATTCTTTAAATTTTGCAAACACAGAAATGTATTGTTGTTTCTTCTAACGCGAAATAACAAAGTGAAATATTACAATGACAAAAGAACCATTGTCTAAAATTAGTATTAGTATGTTGCAGATATTAAATCGTTTTTTTTCCACAATTGCAAAGCTTTTCCAGATCTACGTATGAAATGCTAATAGTAAATGCCAAGCCTTCAAAAAAAATCTGATATCCGCAAGATATATTGCCTAGTTTAGTGGAAATATTGCATAAGATAATAAAAATGTCTTTTAAAGATTTTTTCTGTATGTACGAAAAAATCGAGTTGCTGACGCCTGATATATCCCAAACAATCCGTGACATAACCAAAAAAAAACTCACATATAAAATTTCTTCAAAATCAGTTCAGTAGTTTAATAGATACATGCCTTCTCACGTTGACCGACAGAGCAAGATCGCTCTAGTTAAAAGTGGTTTATTTACGCCATCCTACTACGGTGCGTTTCCACCGAAAACGGGGTATTACATAATCTCCCTTATTATACCTAATGCAGTCGGTAATATAATTATGCAATTATATTAGCTTGCTTACATAATCGTTGAATTAAATTTTTTTTTCATCCATCATTTTTATTTAAAGGATAGGTACCGCATTCAAAACCTTTGGTTTGATCCAAATTTATTTGTTTCTTTCTTGTGACTAATTGAAATTTTAAAAATTAAAAAAAAAATTCTTTAAATTTACAGAGAGATCAAAAATTGAAAAAAATTGAACAAAAATTTACGTACAAATATGTATGTGTATATTTTATTTACATATTATTTATGTATATAACAAAATAAAGGGAAAGTTAATGTGTAGAAGGCTATAAGAATATTAAATAAAGTTGGGTCAAACCAATGGTTTGTATTGTAGCACTTTTCCCCTTCAGTAAGTGAAAATACTGCTTTTAAATACAGTCTATGTACATTTAACACACTATTAAAAATATTTTCATTCATATAGGAAACTATTTCTAGGATTGCATATATTTAGGATGAACGATTTATGCAGTCGTTGAAATAAAACAAAAATTAATTTAAAGAGGGCTTAACATAATGCT